CCTGGATAAAAGGCACCTGTCCACAGAAGCAATCAATCAATCAGATTCCAAACTCTCCACCATGGCCAAGACCAAAGAGCTCTCCAAGGATGTCAGGGACAAGATTGTAGACCTACACAAGGCTGGAATGGGCTACAAGACCATTGCCAAGCAGCTTGGTGAGAAGGTGACAACAGTTGGTGCGATTATTCGCAAATGGAAGAAACACAAAAGAACTGTCAATCTCCCTCAGCCTGGGGCTCCATGCAAGATCTCACCTCGTGGAGTTGCATTGATCATGAGAACGGTGAAGAATCAGCCCAGAATTACACGGGAGGATCTTGTCAATGATCTCAAGGCAGCTGGGACCATAGTCACCAAGAAAACAATTGGTAACACACTACGCCATGAAGGATTGAAATCCTGCAGCGCCCGCAAGGTCCCCCGCTCAAGAAAGCATATATACATGCCCGTCTGAAGTTTTCCAATGAACATCTGAATGATTCAGAGGACAACTGGGTGAAAGTGTTGTGGTCAGATGAGACCAAAATGGAGCTCTTTGGCATCAACTCAACTCGCCGTGTTTGGAGGAGGAGGAATGCTGCCTATGACCCCAAGAACACCATCCCCACCGTCAAACATGGAGGTGGAAACATTATGCTTTGGGGGTGTTTTTCTGCTAAGGGGACAGGACAACTTCACCGCATCAAAGGGACGATGGACGGGGCCATGTATCGTCAAATCTTGGGTGAGAGCCTCCTTCCCTCAGCCAGGGCATTGAAAATGGGTCGTGGATGGGTATTCCAGCATGACAATGACCCAAAACACACGGCCAAGGCAACAAAGGAGTGGCTCAAGAAGAAGCACATTAAGGTCCTGGAGTGGCCTAGCCAGTCTCCAGACCTTAATCCCATAGAAAATCTGTGGAGGGAGCTGAAGGTTCGAGTTGCCAAACGTTAGCCTCGAAACCTTAATGACTTGAAGAAGATCTGCAAAGAGGAGTGGGACAAAATCCCTCCTGAGATGTGTGCAAACCTGGTGGCCAACTACAAGAAACGTCTGACCTCTGTGATTGCCAAAAAGGGTTTTGCCACCAAGTACTAAGTCATGTTTTGCAGAGGGGTCAAATACTTATTTCCCTCATTAAAATGCAAATTAATTTATAACATTTTTGACATGCGTTTTTTCTGGATTTTGTTGTTGTTATTCTGTCTCTCACTGTTCAAATAAACCTACCGTTAAAATTATAGACTAATCATTTCTTTGTCAGTGGGCAAACGTACAAAATCAGCAAAGGATCAAATACTTTTTTCCCCTCACTGTAAACATCGGTGCAAGTGGCCTCTGCAGCTGTCGATTGTGAGCATTCCATTGCATGGGAATGTGTCCAAGTTCGCCGATTCAATGACTACCTTAGGTGCTGTTGGTGACCTCTTTGAATGAAACTATTGCATATGACATATGTTCAGTCATAAATATGATTTGCCTGTTTTTGCTCACCTTCTAAACCAATATATTAACGTCTCGGGTAGTGGGGGGGGGCATCTAGCGAGTAAGGCACACGCTGTGTCTTTGCAAAGTTTGGAATTTCAAGCCGGTTGCAAATCCAGTCCTGTAGCATACATACATTAGCCCCGTGACCCACAAAGCGCGCCGTGCTGTAAATAACGTTATCACAGTGAAACTCTACTCGTCGCGGTTACTATCAACCATGCAACAAAAAAATTGACCACTCTTGGCTGACCACTTGCCTGCCAGGCCCCATTGTCCAACAATGTTAACACACGCATTCCATGTCCACGGGGCTGCTTCTAAAAATGATCCCGCACGCAAGTGCCGTTAGTCCTGAAAAACAAAACTGTTGTACACAGTTATAGAAGATGAAGCATGCCATTCCGTCCGGTGCGATGGGTAAATACTGCAAGTGACGGTGCCGTGCTCAGCCAACGCGAATTAAACCATTAAATTGTGATGCTGTCGTCTCGTGTGGTCACGGGCTAAGAAGTACAAGATCCATGTTTTAATTGTGTTTGAAGACACGTTTTGAAGTAATTTTAATACGGGTTGTCAGGTCAGGGTTAATTTACCACGTAATGTCTTTCACTTCAAATACGCATCACGATAGCCACAAAGTCACACTTGATTTGAAATGATGTCAAGCAGCAAACGAACGCATTACCGTTTAATTACGTGTGCGTGTAATAGGGATTTAAATTGCAAATTAGTTCTGGGGGAAAAGGAAAAAAACGTTCAACATCACATGCAATCATGAACAACCATTAATTAGTGTACCAACAACAACCACAGCAGTCGAGTTTAATTGATATGGATGTTAGCGGAATCTGAACAAGGGATTAATTACGTGTCTCAACACTTAATTAGAAGTGATTTATATACTTGGCACCTGGTCAGTGTATTCATGAATTGTCTTAATTGCTTGTCAACTTGAAATTACAATTTAATTTCGAGTCACTCGTAATTACTGGACTCTGTGATTATCGTCCTTAATTAGACAAGAATGTCAAACTGAGAAGCGTAACGTGTGTCCAAGAAAAGGACGCGTTTGTAAAATTTGGTGTGAACAAAAACAATTAAATTATCTTTGGGGATTACATTTCCTACTATTCCCCATTAATTAGAACAGCAACAGCGCCGCAAACAACAAAGATGTTACAGTTTACTATTTAATATAATTTGTTGGCGGTAAACATCAAAAAAATAGGGGCAAGTTTACAAAGCTGCGTAAAAAAACCGAAGATGGAATGTTTCAGTTCGTCACAGTCGACATCAAAACGTTGCGAGTAAGCCGCAAGATTGAACACAATTTAATAAACTCTTAACGTTTAATGCCGTTCATAAAACCAAAGGCGAACAACCATCGCTTCTGCGTATTTTCTCTCGAATCACAGCTCACAACCCCTGTTGCATCACAGCTCGGGCTCTTAAAAGGCACTCGGGAGATCTGCTCCTTGGAGAAATGCCGAAATAGAAGGCACCTGCTGATGATTATCAACTGGTTCCACTCAGAGAGGCGAGTGCTTGGGTACATGTCTCGTTCATGCCGACGCGAACAAGTGAAGTACTGCCAAGTTCAAGGCCGCATTGGCGGCTGCTGAGCTTACACGAGCTTACTCTTACACTTCTGCTTATACCTCGCACAATGAATGACCACGCAGGCATTTGTCGGCATTCAACCGCACAGTGTTGCCTGAGAAATACATCGGCTGGGCAAGACTAGCAAGAAAAGAAAATCAATATACTGCAGAAACATTCATTTACATTGAACGCTGTGCATGTAAACACGCATTCTACAGTGATGTGAATTCACTAAAAAGAGACCCCACTATATTTCGTACAATAATTACAGAAGAGGCTGCAGCAGAACAGAGTAAAAGGGTTTTAATGCACTGGTTACTGGAGTAACACATATACACTCTTACATTCGAAGTGAATCCATCTCTTAATTGAAGGCAGAGGACCTCTTATACATTTGTGAACAAACCTCCCTTGAGGTGAATGAGCCCCCTTAAGTTTAACACTTAGTCGTAGGGCTTTCGCGACCGATATTATCCATAATATCGGTGTTTTTGGATTCGATCGTGTAAATATGTGTCGTTAAACCCGACACAGACAATTAGTAAGGGTTTGTCAAGTAAACAAAACGTGCCAATTCGTTACTATTCTTGGTTCTTTCGGTAAATTCACGTAGAAGGGAAACAATAAAATAGTAACATTTTCTTGCTGTGGTTTTCACACCTGATGATGATTGCTTGTGTTGCAGTCGAAACGTAGAGAGAATTTTATTGTTTTATATGTTTATTATTTTATGATTTCCCTTCTACGTGACTTTACCGAAAGAACCAATAATATGAATCCCTGCAGCCACGAAAGCTTTAAATCTAAATTGTATTCGTTACTAATTCAGCACACCGGTGTGTTGGAGAGCAAACCCACAACATTTACAATTCGAGTACGACGTTTCGCCGATAATCGCCCTTAAGACCGCTTTTAAAAAAAATACAAAGCTCTCTTTTAAAGCAGGATATGTTATAATCCTCTAATCTGCAATAAATACACCTCTTCAGATTAAAACTAATTATTAGGTGATGCTGCTGCTGTGATGGTCGTGGTTAACAGCAGCACAAATCACAACATTCTCAACGCATTCGTCAACAACATATTGACTTTAAAAGGGAAAAATGTTGTATCTTTATTTAAAATAGGCGAAGTTTTGGGTAATGGTTCTTCTTCGCAGAACATGAAAATTACGTAATTTACGTTGTCATGAAGAAGGGCAATTGCCTGAAACGTCCCCATTATATATGTTCTCCTTTAAGGCAGTGTAATTGATTAATGTGCTGAGCGTTTCTTCGTTTTAGTCTAAGTGACCTCCCTGCACTGCAGACTGAAGTTCTCCCTTCAACAGGGATGGGTCCTTCCCTTAATTGAGCTCCACCACCTATCACATCCTCACCACCTCCTCCATCTCCTCCTCCATCTCCTCCTCACCTTCCCCCACCTGCGAACGGCCAAAACCACCTCCTTGGCTTCACCACCTTCTCAACCCCGCCACCTCAACCTCAGCATCTCTTCACCTTCACAACCCGCATCACCTCTTTGAGCTCAACAATGTCTCGCTCTCATCACCTCGTCATCACCACTTCCTCACCTCCACATCAACATGACCCTCTCACCGTCTTCCTCAAAATATCCTTCACCAACACCGCCTCCTCACCCCCACCTTTGTCCTCAACATATTCAAGTATTTACTCCAATCTCATCCTCACCACCAGCTCACCAGCACCTCTTTATCCTCACCCTCACCACCCCTCCTCAGCAATGCCCCCATCAGCTCACCACATCTTCATCAATGCCACCACCAGCTGACCTCACCACCATCAACATCTCACCAGTACCACCAACCACTTCCGCTTCGTGCTCACCACCACCTCCACTTTGTTAACACCACCTCCCTGCTTGTCACCACCACTACCTCCTCACCACCACCTACAAGCTCTCACCTTGGTGAGCTGGGCGATCTTCTTGCTCATCTTGAGATGCATCTCCTGCCCGTACTCGAGGGAGGTCCCGGCGATTCGGGTCGACCCCGCTCCTCCTCCACCACCGCCACCTCCTCCACTGTTGTAATACTGCCAGCTCATGCCCGTTGCCATGGCGAGTTAATTAATAACCAAATGTAATGGCCGGATTTAATGTGAATTCCTTACGGCAATTACAGCCGACAGTGACACTTCTTCTGCGGGTCCACGCATTGACACTCGTGACTGCGCGGCGATTAATAGAGATGCCGCTGTTTTTGGTTTGTTTGCGATTGCTGAATTACCCTGGGAACTACCGTCGCGGCTAGAGCGAGCATGAACGTACGGGTAACATTACTAAAATAAAACACAACTTGAATCATTACCGAATGCCCCGAGCTGTATTAATATCGACGTCCGCGCAATCTGGACGCATGAACAGGCATCACTTTGTAGATGCCAAAGGCTGCTGCTGCTGCTTCTTCTTCTTCCTACGCTTTCGCTGACGGTGTTGACTCTACCCGCTGCACCTACGTTCTGCTTGTGCGGCTGCTGCTGCTTCGAGTTATTCTATGACTGTTTCCTAATGATGCCTTGCCCCCCCCCCCACACCTGATGTTGCCACCGGTCGCTGCTGCTGATGCTGCTACCGCCGCAGCCGCCACTGATGCTGCCCCTTGCTTCTTAACGCGGGCGCACGGACCTGGAAGCCGGAGTGGGTGGGACCACGCGACGAGTGGGCGGAGCACACCGCGGGGTGGGCGGGGGCAATCGGCAGTGGAGGTGGAGCCAGCGGGTAAATAGGCGTAGTCAGCACTCTAATGGGAGGGACAAGCAGCGAAGTGGGCGGGGGTAAGTCGTAAAGTGGGCGTGGCAAGTAGTGAGGGGCGGGGCAAGCAGTGAGGGGCTGGGCAAGCAGCGAGGGGGGGCGTGAAGACTCCTCCGCGTGTCGTTGCCATGGAGTCGCCATTAGCAACTGCACGCCGCTCGTACGATGTTGTGGTGGCCGGGTGGTTGGTTTATCGTGATTCGTCAAACTTGTCCACGTGATGTACAATTCAAGACTCTTGATTGGAAGCTATTTTACCGCCCCCATCCTCAACCCACAAGACACAGATAATAACAAGCTCAACACGATCGTCAATATCACTGCCTTAAGAGATAAAAAAACATGAACAATAAAGGACGTGCCGGTTAAATGGCCTTTCTTCATAGCACGTGGAGAGGCCAGAGACACGACTAAACCCGCCTCCCCCGCTGTTGCTATGTCGATCGGTGGCCATCTTTGGTAGGGAGGCGGCGTCCATTTATAGTGGGGGTGGATGACGTCATTATCACGCGGTTCACGTCACAAAACCCAAACGTCGCCCCTAAGCAATATGGACGCCGATATTGCACGCACCGCAGACTTGGCAATGTTGTGCTACGAAGAAGGGGCGTTGGCCAAAACGTCGATATTGCACGCACCGCAATGAATTGGCGCTGTTCAAAGGTTTTTCAGTTTTTTTTTCAATTCCATTTATTTGGTATAGCCCTGTGAGCCATTCGGCTCTTGAATCGGGTGCAACCACAACAAACAAAAACAATAACACGAACAAGAAAAACATCTTAAAGTGACTATGTGACTGTGCAAACAGAAAATCCAGGAAAAAACTGCAAAATATTCCTGAAATAGCACCGTACACCAACGCTGTGTGCAAAAAATCCCAGTGGGATGCAAGTCAAACAACAACCACAAGACAACTTAGATTAAGGCCATCAGTCTAACTCCGTACTACAACAAACATGGCCAAACCAAAAAACTTTTAGAAATCACCAAAATAAAGCCATAATTGCAACGTAACAGTGATCATAGGAACTGTGACCGAATTTTTAACAATAAACTACATAAATAACATGTAACACCAAACCCTAGAGCAGTGGTTCTTAACCTGGGTTCGATCGAACCCCAGGGGTTCGGTGAGTCGATCTCAGGGGTTCGGCAGAGCCCCCGCCACGGATGTCCGGACACACTTGAATTATTGTGTAAATTTGTGATGACACACACGGCCCGCTTGGCCATCACTGGCTGCAGATGATCATGCTACACTGCTTGGCCAATCAGCGCTGCGGGGAATTTAGTGCGTACTCAGTACTCAACGTGTGACTGTTGTTGTCGTACGTCGTGTGATTTCTTTAATATTTTATCCATACTAACTATGTCGGGCAAAAGAAGAAAGTGGTCGGACGAATATGTACAACATGGATTCTCATGTATCACGGAACGTGATGGGAGTGAGCGTCCTATCTGCATGATTTGCAACGCCAAGTTGAGCAACTCTAGTCTTGCACCGGCAAAACTAAAGGAACACTTCTTGAAGCTGCATGGAGACGGGGAATACAAGAACACAACACTTGCTGAATTCAGGGTGAAGAGAGCCAGATTCGATGAAAGGGCCACTCTGCCTGCTCTTGGATTTGTACCTGTTAACAAACCGATCCTGACAGCATCGTACGAAGTTGCTTACCTGATCGCAAAGCAGGGCAAGCCACACACCATTGGTGAAACACTTGTGAAACCAGCTGCATTAAAGATGGCGAATCTGATACTCGGAACAGCGGCCGAAGGTAAATTATCCCAAATTCCCCTTTCAAATGACACCGTCAGTGACAGAATAGAAGACATGAGTAAAGACATCTTGGCTCAAGTAGTCGCGGATCTGATTTCAAGCCCGGCAAAATTCAGCCTTCAACTCGACGAAACCACAGACGTTTCTGATCTAAGCCAGCTTGCTGTTTTTGTACGCTATGTGAAAGACGACATGATAAAAGAAGAGTTTTTATTTTGTAAGCCTCTTACAACAACAACGAAGGCAGCCGATGTGAAGAAGCTTGTGGATGACTTCTTCAGAGACAACAATCTTTCATGGGATATGGTTTCTGCAGTTTGTACGGACGGAGCTCCAGTCATGCTGGGAAGAAAGTCTGGTTTTGGTGCGCTAGTAAAGGCCGATGCACCACACATCATTGTGATGCATTGTATTCTGCACAGGCATGCGTTGGCAACAAAAACCTTACCTCCAAAAATGGCAGAAGTATTAAAAACTGTGGTGGAATGTGTGAACTATGTGCGAAAAAGTGCTCTGAGGCACCGCATCTTCAGTGAGCTGTGTAAAGAAATGGGCTCTGAATTTGAGGTACTTCTGCTCCATTCTAATATTCGGTGGTTATCCCGGGGACAGGTGCTGAATCGTGTTTTTGCCATGCGTGTGGAATTAGTCCTGTTTTTGCAAGAGCACCAACACTGCCATGCAGATTGCTTCAAAAATCCTGAGTTCATTCTCATTTTAGCGTACATGGCTGATATATTCGCAGCTCTCAATCATCTCAATCAGCAGATACAGGGTGGTGGAGTCAATATCATGGAAGCGGAAGAACACCTGAAGGCTTTTCAAAAAAAGCTACCGTTATGGAAACGACGAACAGAGAACAATAACTTCGCAAACTTCCCGCTTCTGGACGACTGTGCAAGTAAGATCGAAGATGTGTCTGGAATCGGAGATATTTCTGTATCCACGGAACTGAAGCAAACAATTGCCACGCACTTAGATGAGCTTGCAAAGTCTCTCGACGGATATTTCCCTACAAGAGAGTCATATCCAGCATGGGTGAGACAGCCGTTCACGTTTGCTGTTGAAACAGCAGATGTCAATGATGAATTCCTCGACGAAATCATTGAAATTCAGCAGAGCCAGGTTCAACAGCAACTCTTCAGAACAACAACGCTCTCAACGTTTTGGTGTCGACAAATGAACAAGTATCCAGTTATTGCTAAGAAAGCCCTGGATTTTTTTATACCATTTGTTACAACATATCTTTGTGAGCAATCCTTTTCGAGGATGCTGGACATAAAAACGAAGAAAAGGAACAGACTTTGCTGTGAAAATGACATGAGAGTGGCACTTGCCAAGGTGAAGCCACGCATATCTGAACTGATCTCTCAAAGGCAACAGCAGAAGTCACATTGATTTCCAGGTATGTAATTTGTTGTGAGTTTATACATTGTGTTGGTTTTATTCTTTGAACAAGGTAATGTTCATGCACGGCTCATTTTGTGTACCAGTAAAAAAACATATCTATGTCTTGAATTTGAAAAAAATCACATTTTATTTTTTACTAAAGAGGGGTTCGGTGAATGCGCATATGAAACTGGTGGGGTTCGGTACCTCCAACAAGGTTAAGAACCACTGCCCTAGAGCCATAGCTGGCTGCATGAGTCACTCCACAAACAACAGGAGCATCAGTCGGAGTATCCCATTATTAAATGCACCTTTAAGATCAGTACACTAAATCAAAATACAGATAATACTTTGCAGCGGTCATCCGGAGCGAAACATTTTATTTTAGGCCACTGAAAAAACTTAGCAATGTTGTGCTACGAAGAAGGGGCAGTTGCCGATATTTGCTTTTAAAGGCCATAGTGTTATTGACGAATGTATTGAGTTTTTTTTGGTGATAATTGTGTTTGTGGACTCATGCCGAATTAACAAAATGATACATTTGCATGGTCTGCTGGGCTTTGTTAAAATACTACGGTGTATAACAATGATTAATGATGTGCTCCCAATTTCAAGTACTGCACACAGTCGTTTGTTTTTTCGTGCCTATAATAATGTTCGTGATTACGGTAAAATATAAGATGAGAAAATGAATCAATTTCAGCGACATTCCGCGCTGGAATGTGGCCAATGGCACCACTGGCTTGTCTGCTTAAGCGCTACGGGGCATAACAAAACGATGCGTGAGAATGAAATGCAATAAAAAAAAATATATCACGACAGTGTCATCTAGACCTATACCTTTGGTTTTATTCGGTAAAGTCACGTAGGTAAAAAAATAAAATAACAAAAAAATCACGACGTTTCGGCCACAACACAAGTGGCCTTCATCAGGTGAAGGGACCAGCGCGTAATTAATTAGAAAATGAGGAGGGATCCGACGAGCGATGAAGCTCTATTCTCTGGGTATTTCGGTAAAGTCACGTAGATAGGTTCAAAGAAAATAAATGAAAAAAACTACGACGTTTCGATCGCAGCACAAGTGATCGTCATCAGGAGGAAAAACGACGCGGCGAAGCTGCTGAGGCAGACTTTTAAAGGTTTAATAAGTAATATATAAAAAATATTCTAAAACACGCTTTAATGAAATGTACCGTACTAGTAATGTAAGAACTCCACGACTCCAGGAAGTGACCCCGAAGCTTGCCACAACGTAAGGACAATTAGACCCAAGCCGAAACATAACATATACAAAATAATGTTTTAAAATATATAATTTTTATTTTTTTATGATAGAATATAGAATTGTCATCAGTATGACGTAAGTATACCAAGTTTGCAATCGACACCACATTGCGAAGTGGGTTTAAATTGAGTTACAAGATTTGAGGATACGACAACAGTTAAATAAAAGCGTGTAATAAATAACAATAATGAAAGCGTGTAAAATGGGTGTAGCCCAATCGTTAGTATGGGCGGGGCTAGTGATGTTAATTTGATCAAGTATTATGTTAATTAACATTAACATGCTAATCTATCACATTAACATAATCACAAAACCACCTCCGCGCCCTCCTGGAGGCCGCTCTCCGATTTGCCATTAACATGCTAACTTCTCACATTACTAGTACAGCACACCGTTGTGTTGGAGAGTAAACCCACAACATTTACAATCTCACATTACTAGTACAGCACACCGCTGTGTTGGA